TAGGAACAGCTAAGATACTGCGCAGAACCCTCAAACTCCCAGGCTTCTGGTAGAGGACCCACGATTGAGGAAGACACATACCATCCATAGGGGTGAGAGGGGATTTTTTTTAATACACACACACACACACACACACACGTACGTTATTGATCTCTGTGTTTATTATTAGCATCTGTTATTATACTCTAATAGTAGATGCTAATTGTGTTTTTGCTTAGTTCTTTTTTATGTCATAACAACCACTAATGACTCATGTAAATGTTAGATGGTGCAAAAATGGATGCCATTAAATATACTTTTGACTGTATTTAAACTAATACTATACTTCAGCCTTTACTTTTCCTACTAATCTCTCAAACTAAACACACAATTATTTTTGAATGGGAAAGGCAACACAAAGAAACTTTCTCTGTTAGTTTTCAATGGTACCACAGTTTTGTGGCAAAAAACTGCAAGTTATCATATCCTAAATGGGGATTACCTCAGAATTTCTGCTTTAACAATTAATCTTTTAGGTGTGGTTCATTTTTGTTTTTTGCCCAGCACTCTAATTTAACAGCTTTTCTGTCCTTAACATGATATTTAAGCCCAGTTAATGCTTCCATACATACTAAATGATATATAAAACTAAGTTGAAAAGAATGTACCAGAGACTGCAATATATTCATTTAAATATTCTATTAAATCCTAATCTCTCTCAAGTCAAGACATTAACTCAGTAGTTCGCTAATTAGTCCACATAGATGTTATTTATTCTTTCATTGGAGACATATGGAATGCATCAAGAATCACATGCATTAGTTGTGAATTGTAAAGTTGTCTCGAGAGAGTCATCCAAACTTCTTGTTTGCAATTAAAATAATTATATTAAATATAAAGAGAAAGCTATCAGATGGAAAGACACATTGATGATTCTAGTTCCATTTCTTTAGCCTTTAAACACAGTTGCTAAAACTACTAGGGAAACAATTAACTCTACTTTTCATCTGTATCATGACTATTGTATAGTATGTTATATTTTTACTTCCCTTAAAGGTACACAACAACCCTGTGAAACGGAGAGAATGATCAAGATTATCTTGATCCATGCAGATAAGCAGAGCTTTAAATCTGAGTATATTCCACCGTACTACAACACACCAGCCACACAGCTACCACAAAAGGAACACAAATTAGAGTTCAAACCAACTCTGTGTGTAAAATATGTGTTCTGTTGCATAATTTATTGCATGTACTCTGGTTTCTCTAAAGATCATTTAAAACCTGATATGCCTTTTCCATATCAGTATATTGTAGTCTTAATGAAATCACTGATTGATTTAATTAAGCAAAGTTCACTCTGTTCAGCCATTCATCAGCAATATTGGGATAACTGTACAGGTCTGTCTTGCAGAAATGGTGTAAAGATTGTTGAAATAAACAGTCAGTTTGAATGCTTACATTGTTATCTAAAACTTTTCTGCTGTTGCCATTTATCTCACATTATGTGTTTTCAAATATCCTTAATGGGTATAACATTATAAAATGGTCCATGGAAGTAGATGAGATCTACGTCAATCCAACTGTTTCCTTGCTTTCCCTCCTGCCCCACCTCAGTCATTATGGTTTTTCCTGTTTCACCAGCACCACCACTTTCTTTCCATATTTGTTCAGGAAGATTTTGTTTACCATCAATTATTTAAAATGCTTTCTGATTCATTTCCTCAAATGTGTCCATGCCCACAGCTTCTTGGTGAAAAGGTTGGCCGTATCTTCTCTAATTAAATTGTTGGGTTCTTTGGGTACAGTTGAGAAGGTGGGGACATCTTCCTTCATCTTCAAATACCTCTGTAAAATAAAAAGGAGCAATTTCTCAATATGTATGTGGTATGCATGTAGTGTAGTTGATCATTAAGTGTTGCTCTTCGTTATTTCTTGTGAAGGTGGCGTATGGACAAAAATACAGCAAGCCAATCAATATATACCATCTCCCTTTAGCGATTTAAGGGGATAGTTTCCTGAATAATAATTAAGACATATCTCATGTTTGGAAGATGATCCCCCAAGTGACTTAGCCTTCTGACAGTCTTAAGTGTTCCTAACTAGTCTTCCTCTTTTTCTTTTCTTTTTTTGCTTTTTTCTGGATAGGTGGTTTTTGTGGCTATTTTACTACACAGTCACTTGGAATGCCGAGAGCCTCTCCTCATCCCAATCCTGTCTTTGTACATGGGAGCACTTGTCCGATGTACCACGTTATGCCTGGGTTACTACAGAAACATTCATGATATTATTCCTGACCATAGTGGGCCAGAGATGGGGGTAGGTTTGGATACATTAATATGTTAACTATATAATTACATCCAATACATCAATTTTGCATTATAGGGTTATAGTTCACACTCCTGTAATGCTGCTTTGGATTGTTTTAAAAATATTATATTACAAGGATAGAATACTGTAATGTTGATTTTATTTATTTGTTTGTTTGTTTGTTTGTTTGACTTGTCCCCGCCCATCTCCCCACAACGGGGGACTCTGGGAGGCTTACAACAAACTTTAAAAAAATTGAGAAAACTTTTTCTAGTCATTCCAGTTAGCTACTAAATACCATAATTGCAAAGGATATTTGAAATGTACTGGATGTGTGGAGAGAGGGAGAGTTTGTGTATATGTTATGAAGGTTTTCTTTTTTTCCATCTGTTCAGTTGTGTCCAATTCTCAGAGACTGCCTGGGCAGGTCTCTGCAGTTTTCTTGGCAAGGTTTTTCAGAAGTGGTTTGCCACTGCCTCCTTCCTAGGGCTGAGAGAAAGTGACTGGCCCAAGGTCACCCAGCTGGCTTTGTGTCTAAGGCGGGACTTGAACTCACCATCTCCTGGTTCTAGCCTGGGGTGGCACCACGCTAGAAACCGAGAGACGGTGAGTTCTAGTCTCACCTTAGACACAAAGCCAGCTGGGTGACCTTGGGCCAGCCATTCTCTCTCAGCCCTAGGAAGGAGGCAGTGGCAAACCACTTCTGAAAAACCTTGCCAAGAAAACTTGTCCAGGCAGTCTCTGAGAATCGGACATGATTATAAAGGAATTGTGCCTTAAATTTAATTGGTTTGGTTTGAAAAATGTAACTAGAAAAATATCCCAGCATAAAACAAATGTAATTGTGAGATCAGTTGTACCTTGGAAGCTGTCTATAAAGATGCCAGTGGGCTTTTGTTGAGTACAACATTATCACAATTACATACTCATAGTTTGGCAATAAAACCTACTGGCTTCAGTGTAACTTATTCTCTTTTAATTTCAGCAGCATATGTCAGGCTTGATATATAAAATGCCACTTGATCATTCTATACCAATCACACCCATTGTGTGGCTTCTTCTCCTACATATCTCTGAAACCACAGTATTTCTTGTGGTCCTGTTTCCAATATTTTTTGTGTCATTTTTGTTTGTATTGATATTAAGAAACAGAGACACTCAGCATTGAGCCAAGGAAATCAGCATAGAACTAAAAGAAATGCAGAACCAATAGTGAGGTGATGAAAGTAATTAATCTTCCAGGATGCCTCTTTGCAGAAAAATGTATGAGAATAACTGTTTTTTTTAAAAATATCACATTGCATAATTCTGTAGCTGCAGGCAATAATTTTAATCAATTTCATGAACACTTCTCTCATGAATTAAATGCTCAGGACAGTAATATCCAAATGTTATAGACAACACTGTTAAGAATCTATAATTCCTTTCTGATTTATAGGCTTAGAAGCTTTTTAATACTATTTTTCACCTCTTGCTTGAAGCATTCTGAGCATTTGTAAAATAATTTCTTTAGTTCCTCTTTTGGCTATGCTCTAGGATTGTGGTTCAGCAACACTGTTCTCATTTTATCTGCAGGGAGATGCTACAATAAGAAAGATGCTAAGTTTCTGGTGGCCTTTGGCATTAATTTTGGCCACTCAGAGAATCAGTAGACCCATCGTGAACCTCTTTGTATCCCGGGATCTTGGTGGCAGTTCAGCAGCCACAGAGGTATGAGTCCAGTTTGCTTTCATTTTCTAATATTTGTTCACAATAGCAGATCTATATTTTTGCAGAGAACTTAGATCCATCCTCACGAAATAACTGTATTTCCTCCCAGTCCTTTTAAAACTCATTGTGTCAAGCTGTTGAGATGTATTTACTTCCCATTGGTAGCTTTCCCATGCTAGCGGCTCTGAGTTGTGTTGTATTTATTTCCTGCAATTCCTAGCCACCATGGCTATACTTGCTTTTCTTGCTCCACATATTGCTAGGATCCTAGAGACCTTTCCTCTTAAACTTTCTAATTAAATTTGTCATTAACTCTTCTCTTTTTTATTTAACTAAGTTTGCTCTCCTTGGATATTCTGGGTGATTTTGGCTCAGGAAATTCAGCCTGTTCTCCCTGACTATTAGGCACAGGTTCCTTTTCATCTAATGAAAAGGGATGCACAACATTTTTTTCAGATTGAGGGTTACACTTGATCTTTGCAGGTGGGCTATGTTCCCAAAAGTGTGTGACCAAAGAAATAGATAGATAGAGATCAAAAACTACATTGGATTTATTGTATATACCTGAAAGGAAGATTATGTATTTTTCCCAAATAATTTGAATTGAATATCTTACCTTTGATTTGTGGGGAATATAGGAGCTGCACCATTGCGCACCCTCCCTCACCCAACAGCAGCCACCCTGAGCCCTGCCAGGCTCATGCCGCGCGTCCCTGGCTACCCGTGCACCTCTCGCTCCCTCTCCCACCTGGCAGCAGCAGCCATTTACCTGCCTGCTGACCTGCTTGCAAGCTGCCTGGGACTTGGAACTTCCTGCTGGCTTCCCTACTGACTTTGGTTGTAGGAGTCTGGCAAGATGTTGCAAGTAGGTGCTCACTTAATGACCCATGATCCTAGCTTAATAATGGCAACAGGGACTGCAGGGATTGCTGTCACTAAGAGATGCAGTCACATGATGTTGCACTTTACAACCATATTGCTTAGTGACAGAAATTCCAGTCCCAGTTGCTGTTGTAACTCAAGGACTACCTGTATAGAACAGCTGCTTTTAAGGTGATGGACCATATTGCTCCATGTTACAGTGCATCTTCTGCAAATTGAGGTACATGGTCTAAGAGCAGACTAATAGCTATAATCGCATCTACTATAGCATTTAATGACAGCTTGAACGTATTTATCTAGATGGCTTCTGGTCTTTGCATGTAAAATGTACACAAGTAGCACACTATCAAATGTGTTTTAAGTAGCATGCTATCAAATGGTAACTAGTCTGTACACAGGTTTCACAAGGCAAGCCTATGCATATCACACACACAGAAAGAAGTGCGATAGTTAAGTTTCCAATGAAGGATTAAATCCAGCATGTGACTCTGCTAGTTGTAAAGAGGAACAAGAAGTTACATGAGGCTCTGAAACAACCTTGTTTCCTCAACTGCCAAATTCTGAGACTGTTTCCTATGAGTGGAGCTGCTTCAGCTATATGATCTCATATGGAGCAATGTGCGTAAGCATTTCCTAAGCACATGCGGAAGAATTGAATAAGACTCTTTTTATTACTATCCTCTGCAGGTGCCAGTTCCTCAGGACAGTTCTGTGTGGTCAGCTCCATGCATAGGGTCATGTTGTGAACAGCACATGTGTTTGAAATTTCTTTATAGCACTCTGCAATTTTAGGCTCTTCATCGCTATATACAATAATCACATTGCTTTGAATTCAGTTACGTATCACGCGCTAGAAAGGAGAAGGTGCCTGAAATTTCATGAAATGTTGCTTGGATATTTGTATACCAAAGGCTAAAAAAATAGCTCCAGATTCAGACACGTACTCAAATGCTTAGAATTCTGCCCCATTGCCAAATCACTCACATTTATAGGATCGGTGTATATGTACAACCCTTATTCTAACATGATATTCAGTACAATTCCATTTCATGGAAATGAAGGCCTTTGGGGTTTTATCTGATATATTTGTACTTCAAAGCAATATGAAGAAGTGGAATGTAGAACTGAGTTATAGAGCTGAACTTCAGGCATGTACTTAATTGAATGGTTAACTTTTGCTACCTACAAGTTGTGTAATTAATATTTTAACCAACCCATTTGGACATGCGTTTTGTTGTAAAGGCAAAGAATGCCTTTAAATATTCTCTTGTTTAAATGTTTCTCATCTGGTCAGCTGATAACTGACTTCATTAGTGTCTATTGTTCGCATGTTCTGTTGCTTTCTGTTTCTGAAAACATCATTGCCGAAAGAGAAAGCGCTGGTAGCAATAGCAGTTGGAAAATCCTGGCACACAAGCAGAATGTACTGCAGATTTCAGCTTATGAATGTTGCTGGATCTACTTGACAAGTGTCTTATTTCTCTTATTTTGAGCCCAATTCAGTTGTATTGCCTCCGATCTCCTAACCATGGTTAGAATATGAGACACATGCTGCTGGCTGAGATGCTTCCTCTGACCTTTTGCATGCAAAACACTATTCAAATATTTGAAAAAAAAAGTTATCTATCATTCCAGAATCCTGAGTAAACATTTAAGTCCCAGGAAGTTCTGATTGAATGTCAGGAAAAGCTCCCAAAATGACAAAAAGCAGGTTGAGTGTACACTCATTTAACCAGAGAGGTGGTGGTCTGTTCTTCACTGGCTGTGTTCAAGCAGAGAATTGACAGCTGTCAAGAGATTTTTTAATTTGGATTCCTGTACTGAGCAGAGAGTTGGACTTACTGGCCTAAACAGCTCCTTGCAATTCTGTGAAATCCATTTCCCTTTTTCAAATGCTGTGCTTTAATTGCACAATAACCATGCTGTGTATCACAACATTCACATTCATGGAATGTCCTTCCTAGAGAAGTGTGCTTCATGCCATTACCCTCCATAGAATAGCTTAGTCGGCAACCCTGCCTTAGAATTTACTTCTAGGTCATAAGATTGTATCATTGTTTTTTTTTTCATCGTTTCCTTATAGCAAAACTGAAGAGATTAACAGACTTGAGATAAAATTTGCCCAGTGGATTTGAAATAGAAGAATAAGATTTTGAACTTCCACTGCGGGATGGACAACGCAGAATGTTTTTCAAAATAGTTTTAATGTGATTAAGAAAAACCTGATCAAGTTGCTGATAGCACAAGATCATGGATTCTTAATCCTTAAGCCAAAAGGCCTGTTCGCTATCCTTTCCAGGATCATCTCAAGATTCTTTAAAGAATTAACAATTATGTGTGTGCCCTTCTTCTATTTACTACTTACCATATTTTTCCATTAATAAGACGCCCGCATGTACAAGATGACCCCCACTTTTCCAACCCAAAATTAAGAAATCAATATTGTAAAGATAGTGCAGAGCACATTT